AAGACAAAACCAGAACTTAAAATATTAATGCACAATTTCTAAACTGTACCAAAATATTGGGCGTGATACCATAAGTACAGTTTTCATCGATAACGAATTGTACCAAATGTGTAGGAAAGTACCAACTTTGGCAGCCCGCATCCCTTTACCTGAAGCCATCTGTTCGGTGGCAAAACGATGCAAGACTTCCATGATGAATCTAGGCGCAATTAATATTCAGGGTCTTTTGTGCCTTGCTGTGCTCAAGGCTTTTCGCGAAGCTTGCTGGTACGTGGAACTTAGTCCCCAACTGCCCTCGATGCAGATACTACCCGCCTCCATTCATCTCTCTGATTGGCCTCCCCTTTCCAGATGGTGACATTAAGTGTTTTAGGTCTGTCTGGATATTATCACTTTATCATCTTCTTAGTATGCATCGTTGTCTACAACTATTTCACTCCCTTGTGTACAAAGTGTTTACCTCTCTGTCATCTGACATTCTCTCAGTATGTTCCAGTCATTTTAGTCTATTGCCCTCTTGATGTCAGTAACCAATGCTGTTTTAAACACATGATAAATTTCATTGTTGATTGTCAGTCTCCATTCCCCACTATTTTCATCTTTGATGGGTATAAAGATTAGTCTTCAACTATGTTGCTAGACAACAAAAATCGATAGATCCCGTACATTTACCCTAAACAGCTCTGAACTGTGTTTGTGTTTTTGTTTTCAGCTACAGTCTCAGCGGAGCTATGCACACCCCAACAAACACATATCTCCTTTGGGCGTTCAGCAGAAGAGATGACAATAATGTGGTCCACAAAAGGCTCCTGTAGCTCTCTGGTCAAATATGGAAGTGGCCCATTCAAACTTGCCCTCTCCGCATCCGGGGACAGCAGGCTGCTCGTGCCTGCACACAACACAAGTGAACAGCAGTTTATTCATAATGTTCTTTTGAAGGTAAAACAATGCACGCATGTCCCCCCCCCCCCCCGCCCCCTTTTTTTACCACACACACACACATACACACGTGCACTCACTCACTCACACACACACACACATACACACGTGCACTCACACCCATACTGTAGTTCCAAATAGTCTTAGCATTATTAATTTTATCTTCCTCTTCTTCTGCTGCTGCTACTACTACTGCTACATAAATAGCTACTATTACTACTACTTCTACTAATACTACTACTATTACTTATTCTACTACTACTTAGTTCTTCGACTACTACTACTACTGCTGCTGCTACTACTACTGCCGCCACTACCACTACGGCTGTTGCTGCTACTACTACAACTAATGCTGCTGCTGCTGCTACTACTGCTGCTGCTACTGTTGCTGCTACTACTACAACTAATGCTGCTGCTGCTACTACTGCTACTACTACTACTACTACTACTACTACTACTACTACTACTACTACTACTACTACTACTGCCTATTGTTGCCGTTGCTGCTATCACTGCTATTTTTGCTTCTGTCTATGTTGTTGTGTTGCTGCTACAATTGCTGCTGACACCCCTGCTGCTTCTACTGTACTCCTCTGTTTGGTTTTCTCTATAGTTTTGTTTCTTAAATATTAACAAAATAAGAACACTGGACAGATAACGTATGCATGTATGCGCTTATTGATTTCCTTTGATCACCCTTAAGACTGTCATTGTACGCTTATAATTAGATTTCCCAGCCCGTAAGCTCTGACTGTTAGCAAATAAATCTGTCCTGACCGGTGATTAGTCCGTTGTGCAGTGTCACTGTACGTCATGGCAACGCTGTGATTAATCTCGCTTTCCAACAATGCGGACTGAAGTTCAAAATTTTATTTACGGAACTACCGCCAGCGACCCCGCTTCATAAACCACATACTGGTTCACTTGTAGACATTTTTGGGGAAGGTGTCTTTTTTTCTTGAGAAGGTCGGGGGGGGGGGGGGGTGTTGCCAGCCTGATAAATTATATCAATTTTGAAAATCGGCTTCGATGAGAGTTCAAACAGTAGGTGTGAGTGCTAACCACTGCCCATCTATGGCTCCCCGGCAACCTTACCACTGTATATTTAAATGAAGTTATACACTAAGCACTGTTTATAACGCCCCCCCCCCCCTCTTTCCCCACCCCTGCAATCAGTCTGTCTGCAATCATGCCTGTCTGTCTACCTGCCTTCAACCCTGTCTGTATGTCTGTCCCTCCACTTCAAAATTGAGTAACTGCCTTGAATCATTCTGGTCCCTGTGTATGTTCCAGTGCCCATTGTGGGGGGGGGGGAATAAGAAATAGACCCATTGCCTGCCTAAAGCATATCGTAAGAGTCGACTAACTGGGTCGTCTTTCGAAGTTGGAGTGCATCTGCCTGAGAGGCAAGGAACCAACTGTCTGCATACAAATAAGTCAGATCAGTAAAACGGATGCACATGCAACACTTATGTTATAGAGCAAGACTAGAGTCCAGAAGTGGATTAACAAGCAAAACTTTTCGCCATAGTTTACAGCTGGTGAACGCAAAGAGGAAGAAGAAGAATCATTCTGGCATATACGTAATTCAGCGACACAAATTCAAGAACAGCCCGTTTTTACTAGGGTAATTAGTGCTTGCCTGTCAGTAGATAGTAGTTCTAGTTCAGCCATGTAGCAAGGTGAGCATGTAACGGCTGTAATTGCCGCATACACTTTCCATTGCCAAAGAGAAATGCATTATTAATGACAAGCTAGATGTTGTAAAGGCCCTAAAGGGGACAAGTGAACAGTGTGGAAGCACAGGTGAATCATCAAGGTAAAAAAAGAATGGTACTGCGACGTGTGACCAGAGGATCTGGTCGACGATTAGCACTCACAGGAAAGATGAGAGGATATACAATCAGACTGTTGTTGGTACCACTGGAATTAGAAATCCCCTGCAGGGATAGGGATTTTGTCCTCACACGTTGTGCTCTGGGCTTAGACCAGCCTATAAAAGTCGGTACTAGACACTTCATAGAATCGTCTGCCAATTATCTGTTGAGAACACGCCGTTTCTTTCTTTTGTGGCCAGAGATGGTATTAATTGTGACAAAACAAACTTATAGATAATTCTCAGTAAATTTATATATTCATTAGGTCAATGGTGCTTATTGGATCTGAATTTCTACTTCTGTCCCCTACATCGTTGATTGCTGTCAATACCTTCAATGCCTTCATTTCATTCTTCATGCTATAAAAATTCAGTGTCATTACTTGTAGATTCTTCTTCTTCTTCTTCTTCTTCTTCTTCTTCTTCTTCTTCTTCTTCTTCTTCTTCTTCTTCTTCTTCTTCTTCTTCTTCTTCTTCTTCTTCCTCTTCATCATTATCATCATCATCATCCTCCTCCTCCTCGTTATCCCTCATCATCATCATCTTCTTTTTCTTCTTCATCTTTTTCTACTTCTTTTTCTTCTTTTGCTTCAAAGTTTGCCCTTAAAATTGTGATTGGTACATTGTGTTGTGGTTTATAACTAGGCCTCATTAACTGCACCTTTTGGCCCTAAACAATTATTTTCAGCAAATTCTTAATTATTTGCCTTTTATGACATGCTTGTTAAAGGGCAATAGGTCTGTTCATTTCCCCAAAAATTACGGCCCTGGAAACGGCAAGAAGAATTTGTTGATCCACACACGTTTCAATATCCACTTACAGTAATTCATTTATCTCTGTCAACAGGACTTGTTACCAGGGACTGTGTATTTCTACATGCCTGTCAGTGATGACGTCAGTGCAGGGCCCTACTTCTTCCAGACTCCACACAATTTGGTAAAAATTAAACTGTTGATGTAGTCTTAGGTTGATGTAGTCTTGGGTTGATGTAGTCTTGGGTTGGTATAGTCTTGGGCTGGTGTAGTCTTGGGTTGATGTAGTCTTGGGTTGGTATAGTCTTGGGCTGGTGTAGTCTTGGGTTGATGTAGTCTTAGGTTGGTGTAGTCTTGGGCTGGTGTAGTCTTGGGTTGGTATAGTCTTGGGCTGGTGTAGTCTTGGGTTGATGTAGTCTTAGGTTGGTGTAGTCTTGGGCTGGTGTAGTCTTGGGTTGGTATAGTCTTGGGCTGGTGTAGTCTTGGGCTGGAATAGTCTTGGGTTGATGTAGTCTTAGGTTGGTGTAGTCTTAGGTTGATGTAGTCTTAGGTTGATGTAGTCTTAGGTTGGTGTAGTCTTGGGCTGGAATAGTCTTGGGTTGATGTAGTCTTAGGTTGATGTAGTCTTAGGTTGGTGTAGTCTTGGGCTGGAATAGTCTTAGGTTGATGTAGTCTTAGGTTGGTGTAGTCTTGGGCTGGAATAGTCTTGGGTTGATGTAGTCTTAGGTTGGTGTAGTCTTGGGCTGGAATAGTCTTGGGTTGATGTAGTCTTGAGCTGGTATAGTCTTAGGTTGATGTAGTCTTGGGTTGATGTAGTCTTGAGCTGGTATAGTCTTGGGTTGATGTAGTCTTGGGTTGATGTAGTCTTGAGCTGGTATAGTCTTGGGTTGATGTAGTCTTAGGTTGGTGTAGTCTTGGGCTGGTATAGTCTTGGGTTGATGTAGTCTTGGGCTGGTGTAGTCTTGGGCTGGTATAGTCTTGGGTTGATGTAGTCTTGGGTTGATGTAGTCTTGGGTTGGTGTAGTCTTGGGTTGATGTAGTCTTGGTTTGAAGTAGTCTTTGGTTGGTATAGTCTTGGGTTGATGTAGTCTTGGGTTGATGTAGTCTTGGGTTGATGTCGTCTTGGGTTGATGTAGTCTTGGGTTGATGTAGTCTTGGTTTGAAGTAGTCTTTGGTTGGTATAGTCTTGGGTTGATGTAGTCTTGGGTTGATGTAGTCTTGGGTTGATGTAGTCTTGGGCTGGTGTAGTCTTGGGCTGATGTAGTCTTAGGTTGGTGTAGTCTTGGGTTGATGTAGTCTTGGGTTGATCTAGTCTTGGTTTGAAGTAGTCTTTGGTTGGTATAGTCTTGGGTTGATGTAGTCTTAGGTTGATGTAGTCTTAGGTTGGTGTAGTCTTGGGCTGGAATAGTCTTGGGTTGATGTAGTCTTAGGTTGGTGTAGTCTTGGGCTGGAATAGTCTTGGGTTGATGTAGTCTTAGGTTGGTGTAGTCTTGGGCTGGAATAGTCTTGGGTTGATGTAGTCTTGAGCTGGTATAGTCTTAGGTTGATGTAGTCTTGGGTTGATGTAGTCTTGAGCTGGTATAGTCTTGGGTTGATGTAGTCTTGGGTTGATGTAGTCTTGAGCTGGTATAGTCTTGGGTTGATGTAGTCTTAGGTTGGTGTAGTCTTGGGCTGGTATAGTCTTGGGTTGATGTAGTCTTGGGCTGGTGTAGTCTTGGGCTGGTATAGTCTTGGGTTGATGTAGTCTTGGGTTGATGTAGTCTTGGGTTGGTGTAGTCTTGGGTTGATGTAGTCTTGGTTTGAAGTAGTCTTTGGTTGGTATAGTCTTGGGTTGATGTAGTCTTGGGTTGATGTAGTCTTGGGTTGATGTCGTCTTGGGTTGATGTAGTCTTGGGTTGATGTAGTCTTGGTTTGAAGTAGTCTTTGGTTGGTATAGTCTTGGGTTGATGTAGTCTTGGGTTGATGTAGTCTTGGGTTGATGTAGTCTTGGGCTGGTGTAGTCTTGGGCTGATGTAGTCTTAGGTTGGTGTAGTCTTGGGTTGATGTAGTCTTGGGTTGATCTAGTCTTGGTTTGAAGTAGTCTTTGGTTGGTATAGTCTTGGGTTGATGTAGTCTTGGGTTGATGTAGTCTTGGTTTGAAGTAGTCTTTGGTTGGTATAGTCTTGGGTTGATGTAGTCTTGGGTTGATGTAGTCTTGGGTTGATATAGTCTTGGGTTGATGTAGTCTTGGGTTGGTGTAGTCTTGGGTTGATATAGTCTTGGGTTGATGTAGTCTTGGGTTGGTGTAGTCTTGGGCTGGTATAGTCTTGGAAAAAGTCTGGCTTTGTCAGGATGCGAACCCACGACCTTTTGATCCGCAGGTGGGCGTCTAGCCGCCAACACTACGGCGACTACCATGCCGTTTGAGTAGCCAATAGTATTACTTACTTACTTAGTCGCTCCACTTCTACCTTAGGGTTTAGAGGTTTGTCAGAGAGATCGCCAGACGTCTCTATCATCATCAGTTCTCGTTATGCCTAGTGGCACATAAGGCTTCAGAGAGGACTTCCATGCTTTCCTGTCCTGTGCAATCTTCAGTGCAGTTTTCCATGTCAAAGATGCCGCACTCAGGTCGCTTTCCATCGTTCGTCTCCATGTTGTTTTTGGGTGCCCCTTTTTTCTCTTTTCCTCTGGTACCCATGAGAGAGCTGTTTTTGCAGGTATATCAGGATTCATTCTCATAACGTGGCCAAGCCATTTCCATCTTCTCTTGGTTATCATACTGTCTAGAGTTTCTCGGCTTGTGACTTGAAGTAGTTTAGTGTTTGAGATAGACGTCTCTTTCAGCAGTTTTCTTTTTGGCTTTGTTCCATTCCAGTCCTCTGTCAGTTAGGGACTGTCGGATGTTGTTTTCCCAGCACACCCTGGGCCGCCCTGCTGCTGGTGCCCTGGTTCTTAGCCTCCCATGCCTGCCATGGTGGCCGATTTTCTCCCATTCTGCACACATGTCCAAACCATCGTAACTGTGACTGATCCACTCAGGTTTGTAAGGACTGGGTATCAAGATCTTGCCGTATTGTCTGATTGCGGACTTTGTCCCTTTTTGTCACTTGGACCACTTTTCTCAGATATCTCATTTCTGAGGCCTGAAGCTGGCTTCTGTGAGCTATTGTCAATGCTCATGACTCACACCCATAGGTCAGAACTGGTACATAGGCAGAGCGGTAAACAGCCATTTTCGTCCTCATGCCAATTTCTCTTTTGCTAAGAAACTCTTGGTTTATAGCCTGGAAAAGTTTCCCAGCAGCTGCTTTTTGTGTAGCCAGCTCAGTCTTAATGCCTTCATTTCGGTCTAATACAACTCCAAGGTATTTGAACTGGTTAACCTGCTCCAATGCATACTGTCCCATCATGATCTGGTGTTTCTTCTCCTCTCTTGAGATCACCATGGTTTTAGTTTTGGAGACACTGATGGTCATCCCTTTCTTCTTAAGTTCTTCCTTCCAGACAAGTAAGTTGGACTGAAGATGTGCCTCTGATTTAACTATCAGGGCCACATCGTCTGCAAAAGCCAGCTCTGATATACAGATTGGCCTCATCTTCCAGTACCCTACAGAGTACTTCTTTGTCTTCTCCTTACAGGTCTTGATGACATCATCCATCATAAGAATGAAGAGGTAAGGTGAGAGAATATCACCTTGTCTAACACCGCTAGTGGTCTTAAATTCTTCTGACTTTTGCCAATAGTATTAGACAAATATAATTATTCAATATAAGAACAGATAAATATATATATATATATATATATATATATTCCAGTTATAATCTAGAAGGGTTGAACAGTATTTGTCCTTATTTTATATTATCTTTTTATTTTTTACAGAATGAAGGCACAAAATTAATGGTCTTCAGTGACGTGAGTACGTCGTCACCCTTCATGAAGACACTTGTCAAAGAGGCCCTTACAGGGGAGTATTCAGCTCTGCTGCATCTGGGGAATATTGCTATGAATATGAGCAGTGAGCATGGATCGGTGAGAGAAATGTTGTTATTGTTATTGTTTTTGTTTTTTTATGACTCCTATACTGATTGTTGTTCTTTGTTTCATTTAATTAATTTGAAAAGTCCTTGCTAAAAAACTTGACATTACAAATCACTATCAACCATCGACATCATCATCAGCTTGCATTAACCTGTATATACAGTTCTTCTGTGTTTTTCCTTAAAAGGGTGGCTGGAGCACTGCATTGTAGTTTACAGCTAGGTTGTGAAATCTATGCTTTCTGGGCCAATATGTCCAGTTTCAGCAACTGCTAATTTGTCACCAGTTTTTAAATGCTTGTTATGGGGCACAGGGTATATTATTATTTTTTCACTACCCGAAGACACATGAGAAAAAGTAATAGTAACTAGCAATAACTGATAACACAAATATTAACATTAAGGGAACGACGACTGAATAAGTTCAGAAGTTTTCTTATCTTTAGGTAAACGATTAAAAATTATGGAAAATGCTAAGTCTGAAACTGAAATAAGATTTTAAAATATTAAACCATCTCCATCCGAAGTTTGGCCGTGGTAGATATGTGCATCCACTCCTGTCTTTCAATATTACAAGTTAAGGCCCTAGTCTCCTCCAGGATGTGACTCTCATATCACTTTTTGAAAGCCACAAGGATGGAAAGATACTTTAACAGATATTTTAAAGTAAATACCCATTCATGACATCAAACAGCATCAGTACTGACATGTTCAGTTCTCCCAGTGTGGGTTCTCGGGTCACACTGTGAGACACAAAAATTAGACCCACTGGCCGCCACCCCCCCCCCCCCCCCCCCCTCCCCCCTTACAAAGAGGTCATATAAGTCGACTAATTGGGGATGTAGATGAACAACCAGAACTTTCTGCAGGAGTTTACAGCCAGTGAACGCGAGGAAGAAACGTTATTGCAAGATAAAAAAGAATAGGCTGGACAGAAAAGATATAAAATACATCTATATATATAAAAATCAATGTTTGTGTGTTTGTTTCACCCCTATAGACTCGGAAACTACTGAACCGATTTAGCTGAAATTTTCAGGATATGTTTGTTGTGATACCGGATTTTGAACTGTCGTGGTTTGAAATTCAACCTGTCACTGTTAGAGATAGGTGACCACAATTTATGCAATAATATACGCAACTAATATTTATAACTTTAGTGATTTCTAATTATAGCCACGTTAGTAATTGCGCATGCGCCGCCATAGTCAGAACGCAAGGCCTCCGCCATTCGCCGGCGAGTTACGTGCAGCCAACGCCTTCTCTAATACATAGAGTAGGTCTAGGTACAGCAAACAAGACTATCTCTATATTTGCCACAATAACCATATTAAACACGATTTCTATTTTCTGTTTTTTTCTTCAAAAAACCTTCGATGGGGGGGGGAGGAGAATCAAGGACTATCTCGACGTCGGCGCAGACATTGACTGCGACATTAACTTCATTAACCGTGTTAGACACATGCGATTTCTATTGTTGTGCTGTTTCATTAATATATCTGGAGTATCTGTCTACAAGAAAACAATTGCCTGCGGTTTTGAATTGTGTTTTAATCAGGACACAGAAGTAGGGACACACATCTCTAATTGTCAAGTTCTCTTTTCCTTTATCCGATTAAGCGGCTGCTTGGTCGAATGGTTAGAACACTGGGTTCTTGTGCGGGAGACCTGGGTTCGAATCCGCAGTAGTTATTTTTTTTTTTTACCCCGGACTAAAATAATATCCTCATCTGCTCTGTCGTGGTGACAGCACTAGCCATGTTGCCTTAAAAAAAAAAAAAGACAAGTAAATGGGTAAACCATTTGATAATTAAATTTGACCATTTCGCATACTTATGATTGCAAAATTTTTATTAAACTTTCCGATTGCATGGTTACGCTAAAATTTTTATAGATTTTCATTTATTTTCATTTAGATTTAGTTATTTCATCTGTGTTGGAATTTTAAGCTGTGCTGTTTACCATAACGTTCATTTCCTAATTATGGTGGGTTTTTTTTGCTGTGTTCATTTGCTTTTCAAGTGTTTTTTTTTTCTCCCAACTACTTCAATGAGGGAAAGAGTTGTCGGTGAATTTGGGGGGGGGGGGGGGGGGGCAAACTATTTACTGAGAGAGCTTTAAGTCACAGTAACTGCTTTACCCACTTAATGTAGCAGCAGTAGTAATAGTTGTGGTTGGGCTGTTACACCATAGTGCTCTCATGTGAAGACCGCCGGTAAGGTTATGGCGTTCTTCTGTCGGCAAGTGAAATTATACATCCTAACCTGACCAGTCTGTGGCGACAGCACTAGCCATGCGGAACCAAATCTTCTGGCTCACGACTCTCTGTCTACTCCGATGGTAACACAGATAGCAGTGACATTATTTTAGTAGTTGTACTGGTACTTGAAGGATGATGTGGTAAATATTACACTAGCCCCATTCACTACCTATTACAATTCCTGCTCCCCATTTTAGTCCAGATGGACAGGGATGTCAATGTCAGTTACAGCAACAAAAAAATATCACCAGGTAATGATTTTCAAATATTTCGAAGAGGGAGAAAGCAGTAGTCGGTGGAAGAGGGGAGGGGGGTAATGACTTAAATTTGATGAGGGAGAGGGTAGTAGGTGGATTTAGTTGTGGGGTGGGGGGGTGGGGTGGGGATCAAAGACTATCTCTATATCTGAGCAGACAATGATTGTATTAGACACGTGCGATTTCTATTTTCTTTCCTTTCCATTTAGCCAAACTATGCCACAGCAACGCGTGGCCGGGTACAGCTAGTACATTCTAAAAACAGTGTAGCTGGTAGATTTAAGTTCTGTATCAGGAAGGTGAAAGCCCAGATGTTTCTGCTGCTGCTGCTGCTGCTGCTGCTTTCATGCATTGTACTTGGAAATCTTCTATTATTCTGTTATCTTTCCCTTAATGTTGATAATTGTTAAATCAGTTTGTTTGCTAATTACGATCATCTTTGCAATGTCAACATTCATCATTTATGCTTCAGTTATTATTGAGGTTTGTGAGAATGTGTGAGGATTCTTAAAAAAAAAAAAAAATAGCCAGTTCACATTGCACAATTACAGTTAGGCTGTGGTATCTGTTCCTTACAGCCCATACACAGCTGATTTCAGCAAATTCTTAGTTAGTCACCTTTTACAACATGCTTGATTGGGGGAAGTGGGTCTATTCTTTATCCCATAACCAAAAATAAATGGGGTCCTAGGGGAGAGTGGGTCTATTCTTCATCCCCCAACCCATAAATGGGGTCCTGTGGGAAAGGGGTCTATTCCTAATTCCCCAACCTCTTAATAGAGTCCTAGGGAGAAAGTGTGTCTATTCTTCATCCCCCAACCTCTAAATAGGGTCCTAGGGGGGAGTGGGTCTATTCTTCATCTCCAAACCCCTGAATGGGGTCCTGGGTGGGGAGTCTATTCTTTATCGCCCAACCCCCAAATGGGGTCCTAGAGGGAAGGGGTCTATTCATCATCCCCCAAATGGAACCCACACAGGGACCACATAGTACTAATGGTTTGTTCTTTTTTTTTTCTTCTCTAAGAAACAGTGTCATCAATGCTGATTTAATTTAGAAAAAAAAAAAGATAAGGGTGCACAGTGTTATAAAACAGATGGAGGTGGGAATGTTGTGAGCAGTGGAAGATCAAGACTGAGAAAATATCCAGTGGAGAGAAGAGAGATCAGCTCAACACATCTTTTACTATGTCATGCTGAAAGGTTGTCAAGAATATTCTCTCACCTTCTTTTTGTTTTGTTTCCTGCTAACTGAAAAATATATTTTATATATTCTCCTAATGTAAATGTAAAAATCCATAGTTCAGATCTAATGACATCAAGAATCTAGTAATATATGGGGTGGAGAGGGGAGGGGGTGTGTGGTGGTCAATATACCCCCCCCCCCCTTGTTTTTTTTTTTTTACACTGCCTGGTACTATTTTAGGCTGGGTCGACATGGAAACCAAAGTGTCTTTTTTTTACACTGCCTGGTACTATTTTAGGCTGGGTCGACGTGGGAGCCAGAGTCTGTTTTTCTGTCACATTGCCTGATAAGGATCTGAACCCAGTATCAGCCATGACTACTTCATCTAGCAGTCTGAGCTATAAAACACATAAAATGTAAGATAATCACATTTCTTAGCTTACTTCACTTTTAATTCACATTTCAGAATGGAGACCACTACATGACATCAATTGAACAAGCTGTTAGAACCGTACCCTATTTGACTGCTCCTGGACCCAGTGGTAACTATATTTAATATTCTGCATTTATCATTGCAATAGAACCATCCTCCTGAGAGACTGAGAATGCTTGAAGCAGGTTTGAATTTTCTGTAAAAAGTAAAGGACCCTTTTCCACGCATTTAGGCATATAGGGCATATAGGGCTAGACCTATATTTTATAGACAAACGCCAGAAGATATCAAGCCGGCCGCCTCTACTTCCCAGGACCGCACCCGGTACCTACTCAAGGCTGGGTCCACCTGGGAGCCAAGGTCATTTTTTAAGAAAAGTCTGGCTCCGCCAGGGCACAATGAATTTTCTAAAGGGTGATATAATTTTTTTTTTTTATGTTGTGGGCAACAACAATTTCCAACCTGCACAGTTCATGGCCAAACAGGCCTAAAGCTTGAAGCTCAAGAACCCTCTGTCCAACATCACCCTAAAAAGTTGTAAATACAGACAGTAAACCGTTTTTTTTAAATACATTGCAACATGTAATCACAGTGGGATAGATATCTCTATGTTTAGAAATCCATTCACCTGGAAATCTTCTTCTTCTTTGCGGTCACCAGCTGTAAACTCTGGCAGAAAGTTCTGGTTGTTTATCCACTTCTGGACTGCAGCCCTGCTCCAAAACCTGAGTGTTGCATATGCATCCATTTTACAGATCTGACTCATTTGTGTGCAGACTACTGGTTCCTTGCCTCTCACGCAGATGCACTTTGACTTCGAAGGAAGCTCCCAATTAGTCGACTCTTTTGACTTGCTTGTGGGTAGGCAGTGGGTCTATTCTTGTTTTACCGATAATAGGGCCCCAGAACCCACACAGGGAACCTGGAAATAAATATAGGAATCCTTGTTTTTCTTTGAAAGTGACCACTTATGTTCAGTCAAGCCTCAATTTTATTCTTTCCGAGTCCTGTAGGGGCCAAGGAGTTTATTGTGTCCTCTGAAATTAACCTTTAGATTGACTCTCCACTCATACATCTTTAAATAAATATATATTTTGTCATTCTCACTTCTGACTTTTCATACAATTATTTGTGATGGGGGTAGTATTATGCTGACCAGCTTAACTTCCTAAAACACTTTCTAGTGACCATTTTAGGGTGGGTTTAGCATGAGAATTTCAAAAAATTGTTTAAACTTTTCCATTAAATATTGACTTCTTTTTGTAGCATTATAACTGTTAATTTTATTTTTCAACATATATTCTCATTTACTGATAGTCTCCTGTTTTGTTTTTCAGAAATAGAAGATGGTAGTTATTCAAACTACCTTCTCAGATTTGCAGTGTCTCAGGAATGGCCAATGAAGCTTGACAAACTGTGGTACAGTATTGACATTGGAGCTGTCCATTTGATAAGGTTTGTACTAACTTTCTCTTCTTTGCGTACACCTCCTGCAAACTCGGCGGAAAGTTCTGATGGTTTGTCCACTTCATGACTTTAGTCCTGCTCCAGAATTTAAGCTTTGTGTGTACATCTGTTTTACACATCTGGCTTTTTTTTTTGGTATGCTGCTGGTTCCATGCCTTTCTACTTTATTTAAGAAGCTTTTTTTAATTTCCACTCTCTCCTTTTCTCAATGCTAAATCTGTCCTCTGACCTACCTTGGAGTGTTAGTGGTGTTTGCATGCTCTAAAGATTCGAAAGCTGTGTGGATAGTAGCATAGCTTTCTATTTTGGACGGGTCTTGGGATAGCACAAGGTCTCAGAGACAAAGATTAGGGACAAGATGAAGTTTGTTACACAAACCTGCAGCATTTTATATAGACTGAATTTCATTAGAAGACAACATTGGAAATGGTTTGGCCATATAGGTCGGATGTCAGCAGACAGTATGCCACAGCAAACCATCAAGCACAAACCAAACGAGAAGTGAAGAAGACCATGTAAGTGATGGTCAGATGGAATTATAAAGTCCCTGGGGATCCCAGTTTATGAACCACACAAACTGGCTCTCTCCCATATAAATTATACTTCACCTCGACACTGCATGGTACAAGAGGATCAAGATGAGATGAGTTGAGATGGGGATGATCCAGACCATTCAGGGTGCTTCGTGATGATGACATAAGAGCAAAGTTTTTTTAATTGAAAAAAAAACAACTATTGGCATCGACACAAATGAACACAATTTTTCAGAAGCATTATTTGAATTTTGGAAACTATTATTCAACACATTAGCAGTTATGAAGTTAACTGAAATAACAAAAGCTAGATGAAGTTGGATATGTTGGCCAAAAGGTGCAAATATTACAGCTATGCCCTAAAAAGGCATAACATAATTATGTCACACGGATGAAGAAAAAGAAGAAGAATTCCTTTTAAATTAAAAAAAAAAATAAAAAGATGATAAAATAATCAAGAAGACATGTACTTAGATTTACTGGCTTTTCCAGAAATATACAACAGAGTTCTGTACCAGGGAAGAAGAGGCAAGGCAGGCCAAGAAAGACTTCAAACAAAATTTAAGTGATCTGCAAAAGTTGAAAGACCTAATCGAACTGTCCACTGTAAAATTGTGACCCTGTGAGTCACACAGTACCACGCAACTATGCATAGATACAGAAGTCTACCTGTAATTTTCATTTTCTGTGTTGATAATTATATTACCTTCCTTATAGTTATTCATTGTTTTATTTATATCTATAACAGCTATTCAACGGAAGTGTCTTATTGTTTCATTTATATCTATAACAGCTATTCAACTGAAGTGTTTTATTCTGGTGATGGAAAATATGCCACTTTACAACATGATTGGCTGATTAAAGACCTGAAACTAGCCAATGGGAATAGGGATGAAGTTCCATGGATAATTGCCTTTGGCCACAGACCCATGTACTGCACGTGTGAAGACCCAAAACTGACCTGCAACTCCAAAGTCACGAAAAGTAGTCCTGAGAGAACTGAGTAAGTGACAAATTTAGTAAGTTACCCTAATGTCAAAGTATATTTCATCAAAATCTTCTGTATCTTGCTTATGAAATGATTACTATTTAACCAGAATGATGCCATGAGACTCAGGACACATTCAAAAGTAGTCAGTTTCTCTCAAGAGATTTTTCATAAGCGTTCCATTTTTAATTTATTTTGCAAGTTGCAGAAATGCAATATGGCTAAACGTGTTTGTTGTTGGAATTTATATCTTAGGAATTTTTATATTTAACTCAGGTCTTCCAGTGAATCCAATCCACAACTGGTTACGATAAATATCCTGGGAAGTAAAGGTGGTCAGTTTCATAGTGAAAATGTTAGAGGAATTAAAGTTACTATTTGGGTAGAGAGTTAAAATGCAGCAACTGAAATGCAGAAACCCACAGATGTTTGGTGAGTTTCTTCTTCTTCTTCGCATTCACCAGCTGTACATGGCTGTGGAAAGTTCTGATTATTTATCCACTTCTAGACTTTCGTCTCATCACAGAACCTGGGTTTTTCATTTTACAGATCTGGCTTTTTGTATGCAGACTGTCGGTTCCTCGCCTGTCAGGCAGATGCACTCCGACTTGGAAGGAAATATCCCTATTTAGTCAACTCCTACAGCAGGCTCCTTTCTCTGAAATGGGGCCTCAGGGTCCTCATGGGGAAGGTTTTTTTTGGGGGTGTTGAATGAATAAAAGCAGAGTTCTTCAACCGGTGGTTCATAGATTAGCACTAGTCTGTGGAAATTTTCAACTGGTCCACTCACAAGTTTTGGGCTATATCATTCAGGTGCCACATTGCTGCTGGGCTAATGAGATACTGTGGTGACAACATGACACCAAAGGTATAGGCCATGTCAGTAATAATAACCAAACAAAGAAATCGAATGGATGTAATTGCAGTGCTTCATCTATCAAAAATATTGCTCCAGCCTACTATATTAGATTTAATAATCTCTGAGTAGCAGCAGATGTTGCATAAGCTAACAATTGTAATTTTACAATTGGATTTTTTACATAAAATGCTGTATACATTTAGTAGTAAACACAAGGCAGGTTGCAGTCAAATTAGTATCTATAAATGAAGGAATCAATCAATCAAGAACTGGAATCACTGTACTCAGTCAGCAAAGCAAGTATGTGCCACAGGCACATCCTAAAAGGACACTCCTGGCTTCATTTTGCATGCATTCCGGCTTCTCAATAAATTAATCCACTAAACTGTGGATGCTTAATGTTGATGGGAAGAGGAAAAAACACACAGAATAATAAAAGGACATTTCAGTAACAGCCTTCATTGATACATATTTCATGAAACTTTTTTTTTTTAAACACTAAGTGTTTTTGTAACATAATCACTGTGTTCTTTTCTTCTATATTTGTTCTTACTTACTGATAGTCTCCTGTTGGTTGTTGTGTTTGTGTTAATATTCTTTTTTCTTCTTCTTCACATTTACCAGCTGTAAACTCCGGCAGAACATTCTGGTTATTTGTCCACCTCTGGAATTGAGTCTTGTTCCAGAACCTGAGTGTTGCGTACACATTCATTTAACTTAATTGTATCAGTGGGTCTATTCTTGTTTTTCCACACTGGGGCCCCAGAACCCACACAGGGAGTTTGTGTTGATAAAGGTTGCTGCTAAAATATTCTTTTTTGCTGGGTTTTTCCCCGCTTCCCACCTTCATTAAGTTATATATGTATATTTAGTGCAGCTCTGTTGCTTAGAGGTTAGTGAAATAATTTCACAGTCTAATGTTGACATACTAGGGTTTGATTTCTGTGCCCGCTATTTATAAAAGATTATTCATATGCCTAGATTAGTAGATTTTTTCTTATTTAATTCAATTTTGCATGTCTGTTTTTTAGACTCGAGGACATATTTTACCACTACGGTGTAGACATGGTCCTTGAATCATATGGTGCTGCTTATGAACGTTCATTTCCGATGTACAAAGGTGTTCAAGTGACTGACAATTATACCAACCCTCTGGGACCAGTCCACATAGTATGTGGAGGCGCATCTCCATGGACAATAGAACACAATTTTACAACGCCAGCGCGTAAGTCGTAATTACAGGGTTTCTGTGCAAAGCAAGGCAGAATATATTGATCAATGAATTAATTGCATGTAAGGATGAATGACTGTTAGGGATTTTCTCTTGTTGTCTTCCCCAATCTGTTTCCATAAATTGTCTACATCACAACATGTTTGTTTTTCTCAGCGCAAAAATGGGTGCCCAGAAATGTTCTGAAAGTAAAGGTGGCTGTAAAATACTGATGTTTCAACCCACCAGAAACCACAGTTGAGTTGAGAAAAGAATTTACATCACAGCACCCTTCTTGCGCGCTACTTGGAGCAAACTGACCAAAAAGACGAAGCTGCAAGAATAGGGGTTAAGATGAAACTGTCGATGCTGTGCGAGAACACTGAGCTAGGCACTGATTTCACAATCACTGCAGACACCTTAAGAACTTGCCTCAAGAAATCGCGCAGCACTGCTCCAGGCCCTGACGGCATCCGATACAATGACATGCTGATGATGTCGAATGCTGATTTGAAAAGCGTGGCAAAGGAATTCAATATCAGCACCCAGAGTGGCCAGATACAAGAGGAATGGCTCCATTGTCACAAACCTCTGGTATGACCTTGCCGGTCCGTGGCTCGCTAACTAGGCCTATGACAGACAGACTAACCTACAACACACACTGAACCCGAACGCACACAGAGCACACACGACAAATCTTTATGGAAGTACAGGTAATACAT